AACTTCTGTGTTGCAACTGATCCTAAACCTGGTCAGCTGTTTAAAATTCTTTTTTTTTTTTTGTTTTCCTTTACCATTTAGGAAATAGTTTTATGAGGGGAAAAAAAATGGCAGTGCATTCAACCACTTTTTTTTCCTCATGGTTTTACTGTACAACATTATGGTGATATTAAATGTTCAGCATGCTTTGAACATTTGATTTCAAAATGAGAAAACCTCGTAGGCTTCTTAGTGAAAGCAGCTGATAGTGGAAATGGACAAGAAATAAATACTACAGAAATATTGTGAAATGTTTAAACGTTGTGGATGACTTATTTTTGTGAATAATAAATAGAGCTAGATTTCTCTTGGGGTTTCAGTCTTTCATTTCTAATGTTTCAATCCTTTCTGCTTTTGAAATGTACAGGGAAAGTGCTAAGGTAGCCACCTTATTCCACAATCCATTATTTCAAAATAGGTAATTAGGAGAGCAAATAATTTAATATTAGTTGACAGATCATTAGCCTGTAATACAAAAAGTAGATGAACAAGTAAGAAAAGTCAGGAGCCTAAGGAAGCGATAGCTAAATTTGGAATTAAGTGGGAGAAAAAAAGAGATCTTAATGGTGAAGCATGGTAATAGCTGGAGGATAGGCACAAGAAAGCAGAAAATTGCTGGTACACAAAAAACTTAAACTATCTTACTACTGCAGCTGAGTCAGCTAGAATCTGAACACTAATTGGCACTCATAGGCTGCTCTCTATGTTTCTACTGCATGACCTGGACCTGTCTTGGGTGATGGTGTATGCTGAGTATCTTAGTGAATGACAGCCATGATGAACAAATTTGGGCCTCATTTCCCAGAGGATTGGGTCTTCATTAGGAAAATTGTTTTTTGAATGACTGAAAATAGAGTCAAGTCCTGGTGAGGAAGTAGCCTGAGTATTTAATTTGTTAAGATTAGGTTTATATGTCACCCTGAAACGGGAGGATGTGGTGCAGTGAGGAGGTACTGACTAGTGCATGAGATCACGGAATCATAGAATCACAAGGTTGGAAACGACCTACAAGATCATGCAGTCCAACCGTCTCCTCATCATTGCCACCACCAGCACTAAACCATGTCACGCAGCACGTCATCCAGACGCATCTTGAACACTGCCAGGGACGGCGACTCCACCACCTCTCTGGGCAGCCATTCCAGTGCCTGACCACTCTCTGAGAGAAACAGTTCTTCCTTATGTCTAGCCTAAACCTCTTCTGACAGAACTTGCGGCCATTGTGGGGGGGAATTTCATGAGACTGAAATGGGAAGCTGGATGGCCCCAAGAGTAGTTTTTGAAAATAAAGGTTTTCTTTTACATAATGACTTAGGGCTGCCTAAAAAAACCTAAAAACTTCTTGGCTTTCTAGGTAATCTCATTCATATTTGGAGAAGAAATCTAGTTGCAGATCTTCCATAATGAAGAAAGAAAGCTACAGGAAATGCCTGCTGTGTATGTCTAACTGCTGCCAGACCTGTGTGTAGTAACGCATTTATCACATTCCAAAAGGCATTTCAATAAACAACAACAGCAAGAGCAACAGGAGATGGATGTCCTAAGACAGAGAATAGCACATTCAGTAGGAAAAGAGGATAAGTGTTTTTCATTCAGGAATGTATAATGAGATCACAACAAAGACTGGGCTGGAACTAATAACTAGTTCATTTTTTACTCTAGGCAAATCAGCACAGTGCATTCTGTTGTTAATACATATTTTTTATTTTAATTTTATGTCTGATTACTCTGAACACTGAACACTCACTGAAATTCAGTTTGCTAAATTTTGGTTAGATTTTGGGTTGGTTTTAATAATAAATAACTATTAGAACAGTGACCTTGTTGAGGTATTATTCTTTGTTTCACCATCCTTTTTTAAGGAAAAACCTGATAAACTTCCAAGTAAAACAGAAGTCTGTTCTTCCCTTTCTGTGTTCATTTTCAATATTTACCTTTTGTTAAATGAATGGTTTATTAATATATTAATGGTTGTCTTTGCCTTTTCTCTCCATTTATTCATGGCAAATTATTAGGAAGCAGAAGTAGAAGTGGTGTCTAAAAATAAACACCAAACTTGAAGTTTGCTGTATCCTCTCAGAAGCATGGATCCTTAATAACGTAGAATAGTATGCAGTTATTGAATATTACATAGTTAGATGTTTTTGATTAAAATAAAGATACACCTCGTGAGAATAGAAACACTGTACACTTTCATTGCAATTCAGTATTTCCATTCTACAAAGATAAATGTTTGCATCACAGTTTAGCTGATCATAATTTATAGACTACATAGTCTTCTGAGTTTGAAGTGCAGTTTTAGAGAGGAAGTTTGGGATACCTTTTGGTTGGTGGTTGAATTTACAGTTCTATGAGATTTTTCTGAAGACAAACTATAGATTAGATCCCATTAGAAGTGATATGAGACAACTGTTCTTCATTTAAAAACATATACATGGAATTTAAATGACATGGTTGAAAGGACTTTGTCTTGAAACACAATGAAAATAAAAAATGCATTTTTAGTGGAGAGACTAATAAGGTGGAGGATGGGAGAAACAAACTTGATGGGTAATGGAGCTTGTTCCTTCAAAACTTGAACATATCATAAATACAACAGTTGTGAAAGAAGTCATCTTTTGAGTCAAATGGGAGCCTGCAAGGCTAGGAGCTCTCAGCAAGATGGTTCTCTCTCCCTGCTTTCATCTTTTCTTTTGTTTTATATTTGCTCTGTGTACATTTATGATTGTATCAGAGAAACACAGGATTCTACTGTCATCTTCTTTTTTGCCTTCAGCCCTGGAGCTGATTCTCCTCTTGACCAAACTAGGTTCCTCTTTAAGTCCTATCTATGGAATACGTACATATGAGTGCTCAAAGGAAACTACTGGTGTTGGCTTTCATCTTAATCCACTTCAGATGCCTCGGAATCTTAGGCAGACACCTTAAACTGTGTTGACAAAGGAAAGAAAGGGTATTTTTAGGTTCTGAATCCTCTGATCCATTTTCAGTTTCTTTTGACTTATGCTGTGTCCCACTTACCCAAGATACATGTCAGTATGTCCCCTTTGCCAAAGGAATGTCACATTTCAGTACGATAACTGCAGATTTTCCTATGTGTTGTGGAGCAAGTGGAATCATCTAAAAAAAAAATAAAAAAATATATATAAAAAAGTTTCCTTTAGAATTTAATTTGAAATAAAAATTTTCAAACACAGTCAGTTTCTCTAGCACTGATTCTTGGTGAAGTGCTGCTTGTCTGCACAGGTATTGACTCTTCAATGCATGAGAAACATATTAGGCTCAAATTAATTTTACAACTTGTTTTGTATGAGCTTTTGTGGTCCAGATTTTCTGCATCACTGAGTTTTCTTGTGTGCAAGTGCAGGTTCATCAAGGTCTTTTTTTGAAGTTAGAGGGGCCCTACAAATATAAACTATGGCCGCAGAACAGGAAATTGAGTTGCAATTACAGCTGACTGAAATTTTCTATTGAGTGGATATGAACAGAAATGCACTGTACCTTAAATTTCAATTCAGGACACTCAAAATTCTTGTCTGCTCATTGGTGAGGTGTAGAATTATTATTATTTTTTTTTTCCTGTGAAAAAGTAAATAAGAAAACTCTGCTAAAGTACGGTCTTGGTGCTGCATCCTCTTGAGCCAGTCTAGAAGAAAAATTTTGATTATTGTTTTTTATGTGTGGAAAATTGGTATTTCAGGCCATAGCGATTTACCCTTTGTGGCTAGAACTAGCTGAATAGTTTATACTTGTATTAGAGACATCTTTGTGTTTGTTGTGGGTGTTTCTCACTGGTTTATTTGAGAGTCTTTCATATACAGTTGTTTACAGTTCTCTGCTTTTTCTCTGTTATATGTGAAAATCAATTTCTTCAGCTTTAATTGTATCATGGATTCATCTAAAAACATTCCAAAACTCTAACATGATCTAATGCTTTTAGCGTATTTCACTCATGATGATGCTCTTATCATGGCGACTGGTTTCTCTTCACCGTGTCGGAGAAGTGTATGTGGTGTTTTTGAGAACCAACATTTTCTTGGAGACCTCTGGTTTTCTGAAAACCCTGAATCCCAAAAGGGAGATTGTTATTAGAAAAAGAGAAGGATGTGTTTTCGATCTCTTGGCTCAGCTATTCTGCAGGGAAGGGCCGGAAAACAGGAGCTTTATTCTTCCTCAGTGCCTGGACAAAGGACAGCACACCGTGAGACAAAGGGATAAATCTTCAGAGAGAGATTTTTAAAAAGACATCTGAGGAAAGGGATTGTTGTGGGAGAGATGAAGGCTCGCTAATGGATTGATAATGCTAGGAACTGGCAAGACTGCATGTGTTCTGGAACTGAATCCTGCCCATGCAACAGAGGCACAGAAATTACTTCTCTCTTTTATCTCGTGTGTGACAGCTAGCAATTTAATCTGCTCTGTTCATTATGCTGGTTGGCTTCTCTTCCCAGTTAGTGGATTATAGGAACAAAAAGCTCTGTGGTTGTGAAACAATTACTCTGATCCTCCAATTGTTTGTGTGTTATAAAGAAAGATAATCTTCCAGATATTAAGCAAATACGTTTAGGCTCTCAATAACTTGACATTCAGTACTGTGCGAGGTATTCTGATAAGCAACTTGTAGGCTCAGGTTTCATCTGGAGGTCAACTCAACAAGAGGTGTCATGGGAACAATAGCTTGGAGTCCCTCTTTGATCAATCGCTTATGTGGAGTTACTTCATTTCCCTTTCAAATAACAATCTCCCTTGAGTCTGAGGTGAGATCTGTAGGATGTTTGCTGATTCAGTGTTGGTGGCTGTGTAAAGGAGCACTGGGGATGACTGCAGTCTCTTCTGATCCTTCCAAGCTCTTACACCAGCTTTGAAAAATTGTGCAGAAGTGGGTGAGTTGGGGGGGGACGGGTGGACTGAATGGGATGGGAGCCTGTTTGTCTCTGATAGAATGGCACTTTCTCTTGCAGAGACCCCATGTGTCACCTGAGATGGACCCTTTCTAGGTCAAGAGACTGCCACCCTGAGGCATAGTCTCAATCGCAAGGTAAAAGTGGAAAAGTTTCAACTCTTTGGCGTGTACAGGGTGAGAAAGTAGGCAGTTTGTTTTTAGTTGCTAGGAACCTCTGTCATTCTGTCATATCCTTTCTTCCTCTGTTTTTTGTCTGTGACATGGATATGTACAAAATGAGCTCTATCTTTTCTTCTTTGTCAAAGGTAAGATAATAAATACTACTATAGTAAACATTTGTTTCCTTTGAACTCAATGTTTTCATCACTTCAGTCACCCCTTCTCATCTTCATCTTCTTGAAAAGGTTTTGTTTCAGTTTGATTTGTTGTGGACAGGGGAGAGGAAATGAATTTTCAAGGAGAAGGCTTATGGCATGCACGTTACTGTTGGCAATACAGGCGTTTAGAGTACAGGAACTTCTAGAGACACTAGTGCTGGGGGTGGTTTTATTTCAGTCCAGATAGAGGTTGAATCCTTAGGGATCCTTATAGATAAGAAAGGCATCTGAATCTCATTCCTGGCCTGCTGTCCTCCTGCTTGAAGAGCCGTAAGAGTTGCTGTGGTATAAACCAAACCCTTCTTCCATCCATCTGCTCTACTTCCTGATGCTTGTCACAGAACAGCTGCTCAGATTGGCTTGTGCAGATGTGTTCATGAAGAAATCCAGGCTTTCCCTGTATCCTGTCACGCTGTTTGGGGTTAGATGCTTCAAAGGTAGGTATATTCATTCATTTGCTCACTGTTTCTCCATCTCTTTTCTTGATTTTTAAGAGCATCAACTATGAGAAAATGACAACTTGTCCCATTAGAATTGCCCCACAGATTGACACAGTCTCATTTCCCTGTGTGTCCTCAAATAAATTTTGATTGTCAGCTTTATAATTCAGGTGGTCTGAATAAAATCTGATGGCAGCAAACTGTTGAGATATAACTGCTTTAGGTCTAGCGTGATTTCATCGGTTCGTTAAGTAAGGGATGAAGAGAATTTGCCAGTTCAAAATCTGCAGATTGCCGTGTTTTGAGTTATTTGAGTACTCTGTTGCCTTAGTCTCTCCATGTGCTTCTCACTAAGCTTTAAGTTGTACAAAACCTGTGTTCTTTACCTGCCTGTATCCTGGCTTCTCCATTGCTTTGCGTTTCTAAGCCTGAGGTACTTGGAGCTCACACAGTCTAGCAAAACTCATTGTCTCGGCACCTTTGTATCTTTTCAGCTCTCTAGTATGTCTCTGATACAGAGATATCACGTGGTTAGAAAGAGAAGCAGCTTTATGAAAAGCTATTCCCTTTCCTTGATGGATGCTGGATTAATGTTGCTTAGCTCCTTGGCTGGCTCTGCGAACCAGCTCTTTATGTTTTCTCCTCCAATGCTGCACTCTTAGAAAAAGGAGTGCAGCAGGAGTGTCACTGCTTGAGAATACTTAGCCCAGATCGCTTTTGATTTTGTGTCTTAACATATAGCAGTTTTAGGGCTGTGCATAAAGCCAATGAAGCATAAAGAGCATTAGAGATTTGGAGAGTCTTAGGATGTAGCTTAATTTTTCTGGAAATGAATCAGTTGGGAGATGACTGTAAATCTGTCTTCTCTGTCTCTGTAGTATAGTCCTTCTGCTTCTGGGTAAAATGTTTGACATTTCAGAAAAGAAAGAACTAGTACATAATGCAGGGCAGCCTCTTCTCCATATTGATTGGGTGGTGTTGGAGATACAGCAGCAACATTTCCTGATTCACACATGCAATTGTATTCATATTGATTTGTTAGCATTTATGAAGCAGTAATATCTTTAAATAAGTGTAGTCATTTCTAATTGTCTTATTTTTGTTTTAAAATCGTCTTATAAAGACCTATTTTTCTCTTGAAGTTTTTGTTCTTTTGCCTCAGACATTTTGCAGTGATGAATCTTGGTTTGATCTTTGAGACATCAGCAATTATAGCCAGGACAGAGTGGGAGCAAATTTAGTAGTTTTTGACAATATGGGTACATCTTAGCTATTTTTAAAAGATCCCAATCCAGTCCTGTGAAGTCTTTACTTCAGTAGCCTTCAGTCAGGATCAGCTAAAATTGCAAAACCAGGATCAGAATTAAAGGATGTTAGGAAACGGAATCCTTTGTTATCTCCCATATGTAGAAGATCCTGTGCAGAGGCTGCTTTCCCTACTACCTCACCAAAGCCATTCTGAGATAATTTTTACTGTGTTGTACTTGAAGGCTGTGTCTGAAGGCTTCTCTGTGAGTGCACTTAGTTAAGCAGTGAAAGAGAATGCAAGGCTACTGAATCTATTTTCCATATTGCCGTTGGTAAGAGAGGGGTTTATTTAGCAAAAAGATTACTAACAGGCAGCTTTCCTACACCCTCTCTCTCTCTTGTCTGCACAATTGCATACTTCCACCCACACACCCTTTTCTCCATATGAATTGTCTGCATGCACCTGAACTGCAAAACTATTTCTAAAGCTGTTACCGGAAAGGAAAGCAATGTTTCAATCCACTTTTACCTTGTAATTACTTCATCCCAATCAGTGGCTTGCACCTCACGTTTATTATTCATGTAAGGAATTGTAAGTGAGCCACTTGCTCATTATTATGAAAGACAAATTTTATTTTCTGGTCATGGGCTATAGATACAAAGGGCTGTTGATTATAAAACCATTGTCTAAACTCTGTGCCTTTCTTGTAGTTTATAGAAAATGCTGTAATTATTTTCCTTCTTACACAAGGCTTGGTCTGCTGTAACTGGACTACAATAGTGTAAGAGAAGAATTAGGGAATACTTAGCTGTAAGAAAATGAAAGAGGTTTCCAGTTCACTAACATCCAGATGCATTGTGCACCCTTGGACCCGTAAAATTATTTGTTTCTCATATAAAGATATTTTCTTTGTCAGAATACTACTACTTCTTTGTTTTGGAAATCAGAAATCTTCACCATTCAGACTTTAAGCTTCCAAGTCTGTACCACAGTGGATTTGAAATGCAATGCTGCCTGCAGAAAAGTGGGGTACATAAGATTTTTCAAAAGGTGTGATGTATCAGCACCATAGTGCCTGTGCTGCTTATTCGTGGAGCTTTTGGATTTCCATTCCCAAGGTTGGCGTTCCACTGTTCGGGGAAAGAAGATCTAGGTTTGAAGGCTACATCTGAGCTCGGTACAAGGTCATTATATACCAGTATTGGCTATGAAAATGCTACTAAATTGTCTGTGTTCTGTATGTGGTTATTTCTAGATGTTGAAATGATAGGACGTGACATTTTTTTTTGTCACTGAAGCTGACTGTGTTAGCTGATAATAGCTTACTTCAGGAATCCTTTATGAGTCTTTTTGTCAATATCAGTGTCTACTTGTTAGACCAAAGGTTGCATTTAGTGCACGGTCTAAAGAAACTTTTAGGGGTGGGTGTGAAGGTATTGGGTGGCATCAGCTGACAAATCCACCACTGTTTGTGTTGTTGTGGTCGGAAGGGAATCCTCCTGTCTGAGCTGCCTGAATGACACTGTTCTCAAGCTACCCTTCCTTGTGTTGTCTGTTTTGAGTGTGCAAGTCAGGAGTTGTTCAGGAAAGCCATCTCGTGAAATCATCCAAGCGTTGGCTTATGATAATAGTGAAGAAAGAGCATTAGCACATCTGTATTTGCTACCTCTGAGGGAAATATTTTGGGAGCAGAAGTTACTGAACACTTGGAAGGGCGTTCAGCTTAACAGTGTTGCACCTTTTTCAGAACATCGCTTCTCCAACTAGCATCTAGTCATTTCTTTCATGACCTCTTTATCCTCCTGATCATCCCGGTATGTTTTTCTACCATTACTTGTCCACATAGTGCTTTTCTGTTGCATTATTAATGGTAACCTTTTCCCTACACGCTGTCTTGTTAGTCAGCCATTGTTTTGACCTCCTGGCCTGAGTTATCCAGGAGGAAAATGTCAGTGGACAAGCTTGTAGCTTGTTTGGTGTCCCTTCAAGAAAGCTGTGGGTTTATTTTATTTTTTTATATATATATTTTTTTATTTCCACCTGTGGTAATTTAGAGCAGCTGCCACCCTTGAAAGTGCAGAGCACAAAGGTGAGGCTATAATTATGGCTAAAGGCAGATCCCTGAAATGTTGAGCTTTGCCCTAGTGCTGTGGTTTGTATCAGAATTTCAAATAAAGTGATTCTGTGTTATAGGAGAAGCAAAACAGCAGCAGGAAAAGCCCGTAAGTAGCCAAGTAATACAACCTCCTGCTTGGCCCAACACGTGACTGTAGAAAAGCAAACACAAAAGCTTTCTCTGGAGAAATGTTTGTGAATGGCAGGGTGTGTTTGTTTTGTGCCATCATATCTAAGCTCAACTGAATGATTAAAATTTGCTTTTTTTTTTTTTTTTTTCCCAAAGGAAGTGTATAATGATTGCCTGTTGATCCGTAGTGTTTCTTGCAAGGTAGCTGTCAAACTGCAGGGAATTCCAAATCAGAGTACTAATTGCAGATTTGTCCTAGCTCTTCTAGGCAATGTTATTTTCCTAAGATTTCTCTGATTTTTTCTTAGAGAAATGGAAATAAGTACTTTTTTTGGTCTTCTAACAATCTCTAGACAGCAGAAAGATTATGACTATGAGAGCTTTTTATCTGGACATGTTTTGTCCCATTTACGGTTTCCATTTTCAAATAAACATTTAATTGAAATAACGGAGACTGTGACATACAATCATTTGAAGTGACAGTAAATATTTAGGGTTCAGTGTTGAGCCAGTTGAACCTTTTTTTTTTCTTTCTTTCTTTCTTTTCTGTTTACTCCTGTAACTTTGGACCATGCCCAAAGTGATCTTTTGACTTCTGATGCCTCCTTATCTCGCCAATGGAATCAGATGATCTTAGTGTAGCTGAGATGCTGAGAGTGTTTGAAGAGTGAGAATAAAAGGAGGAACTGAGTTATTTGACAGTAGATCTGATAGAGAGGGAAAAGAATAATGTTGTAGGAAAGAAGATGTAATCTTAAGTATTTACCACTCTGTTGTCAATGTCTCTGGGCTGATTTAATATAGCATTATAAAAAAAAGTAAATTGTGTCAGACACACTTTCATTTTATATGAAAAAATAAATTTAGCTTCAGTCCAGTAAATGTTTAGGAAAGTAACAGATATTGTCTTGTATAAAGAACCCAAGATCAATATCAGTAACTTTTTAAAAGGACCTAAAGTTGTGCCTTTATGGTATGTTATAAATAATACTGTCCTTAATATTGTGTCCTCAGGCAAACAGACCCGCAACTCTTTAAGGAGTAGAATTTCAGTGTTCAGTGTGCTTGATTTTTGCAACCTGTGTCTAAGTTCCATATACTTATGGAACTTATTGCTTTTTTTTTTCCCCTGGGAAAGTTTACTGCCTTTTTTTTTTTATTTTCATGATGACTGTCTTTTCTAGGCTTACTTCGTTAGCCCTGGTTCAGACAGAGCTAAAGAACAAAACGCTCAGAATATTTCTTTTACAGCTCATCAGGGATACAGTACCTAGGACATCTGCAGAACTGTAATTTTTCAATTGTTTTTGCAGGAAAAAAAACCCCAAAAAACGACAAAGTATAACCAAGGTATAATGTACCTTTCGTTATTTTGCGTGTAAATGTTAGTTTATGTGGAGTTACGTGGAAACCAGGCCCTTGCTGCCTGCTCCACTGCTGTCAGTTTGCCATAAAACGATGGGCTGAGAAGTGATGTGGGTTTAGAGTTCCTGGGTGGGTCAG